CCCCAAAACCCCAAAACCCCAAAACCCCATAGATTTTTTGATTCAATAATTTTAGTGTTAATATAAGCAAGTTAGATCAAAACTTATAATATTTTACAAATAATGGACATTAGGCCGAACAAAAATCTTTTAGACCACTCTGAAAAATAAAATAAATAATCAAGTTTTCAGATAATATATGAGTAAGATACTCATACAACTAATAGTAGAAACTTAAACGATCAACTGTTAAAGCAAAATTCAGATGTATTTTAGAGCTAATAATCTTTTCTGCATGGTACTTTTAGCATTAGTAGGATTTTTAAAGGGACCAGAACCTCCTAATACGAAAAAAATAAGTACTCAGAGGATACTAATGAAAGAAATTTCATGCTCAGCAAAAAAACTCATAGACAAGCAGATCTAGAAGACTCTTTTGTAATTGAGACCAATGAGATTTACAAAAAACAGTTCAAACTCAATCTAACTATGAATCTGATCGTGATTATACTTGCTATATTTACTGCTCTTTTCACACCGTGGTATAAGTTTCCATTTCTTGATAATGATAAATGTAAAAATAATGTCCATGAAATCAAAATTCATATGCTCTCCTATCTAGGTCATTAAACTAACATTAAGCTCATTTCAAACCTTAAGGATGAAGAATGCAAGTTCATAAAATGGAATCCATTAAATGTTTGCGATAATTTGAATGTGTTTCTCACTGGAGGGATATCTGTAAGAATACAATTATTTTAAAAATTTCATTCATTAGGTTTTAGCCTTGAATACTTTTGGAGCAATTATGAGTGCAATTGGAGCAGTAGCATCACTTAACACCATCAGAAATAATACTTTGACTATGAGTGTAAGTATAATTCAAGTGATTTCTGCTACTTATTTATATAATTTTAGTTTGCATAGAAATACACATCAGTCTTTTTCATTACTGGCTTTTTGAGTTGGTTTTTCATGACTGGGGGCTTTAAAGGATTAACTTTCTGGTCTATTGGGCCAATAATTTAACTTATAATCATAGCTTTGAGTTTAGCTAGCAATATCTTAATGTCTATATTCAGGAAAAAGCTTAAAACTAATTTGCTTACCTAGTAGTACTTGAAAGAAAGTCTTATTTGAGAGTAATGGCCTTGATTAGTATAAATCAAATTTAAATTAATTTAATAAGTTAAAGCTTGAAAAAAGCATTCTTGATATTAAATCTCTGAATTATTCTTTAATTTAATGAAAGAACAATTAACTATCTCTCAAGGTCAATTATAGAGCGGAGCTTAGACTGCGAGGCCTTCGACTACAATGGGACTAAGCACATTATCAGTCACAAATTCATAGAAAGAATCGATTACCTTTAGACCCTAGTCATTACCAAAGCATCTTTTGAGATAATATGTAGATGAAGAGCAGTTTAAATTATTTGAACAGATGACTGAATTTACAAGAGAGTTTCATGAAGCCTGTGACAATATTAAGAGAGTTGAAAAAGAAATCACAAATGAATTACAGAAACAGATTAATATCAACAGAAAACCACAAAGTCTACCAGAGATGTACACGACAAACCTCTAACCGATGAATATGATTAGGAAGAAGCTATGGTATCGCTTGTACAAGTATTGGCACGAGCCTTTCATAGAAAAAAACTATGATGATGACAAGCTATTACTATTGAAATAATAAAATGCCTACAAGAAGAGGATCAAGAAGCGTTAGTAAGAGAAGAAACTGTAGAATAGCAAGCTAAAGAAATCAGCTCAAATGATATAGATGCAGTAAAAAGAGCAAGATGCAAATGATTCAGACTCTGTGGATCTAGAAATGCTGATTTAAGAGCAGTAAAGGTAAAAAAACGAAAATGATGAGAGCAATCTTACAGATGAATTCATGAATGCAGAGGATGATCCAGATAATGATGAAATGGCCTAGATAATATCAAAGAGAGTCGATCCTTTCAATATCAATCATAAGAAGAATTAGAATCTTTATCGAGACACGCTTCTTGAATGCATTGGCTTGAAACCACATAAGTTAATAAAAAATATAGCGTTGCCGCAGTTCTATGTGAGATAGCATAAAAAATAGAGGAAGTCACAATAGTAAAAAAGAGAACTATTTGATAATTTCATCTAAGTATGCGATCCGAACAAGAAAAGAGTCAAGGAAACTAAGATCTACATTTAGGACAAAATTAAAAGCTATATCGGTAACATTGAATAAGGAATTAATGAAAAACTCAACTATCTTAAAACGCTAGATTCAGTCAAATAAGAGATAGTTAGTAAGTCCTAGAAATTGCAAGATTTTAATGGCAATGGAAGTTATGAAAAGTAAAAAAGAATCATAAAAATCGAAAAAATCATTAGACCTAGTGATTATGAGGAAGTTTTTATGAGTAAAAGAAGATAAAGTTAGTACTAGGAGGCGGAGTTAATACTCCCTTCTAAATTTCTCTCAGCTTAAAAGAAAGTCCTAGATTTAGAAAGAAGAGGGTCTAAGGAGAGTCTGCTCAGTGAGAGATCTAGCAAGACAAACAGATCCAATATACGGGGTAACTAATTAAGCATACCTTAATCCAAGGTCTTAACTTCGATTCAATAGTCAACAATGGTAAACACCCGCCGAAATTCAACAAAATAAGGTTCACCTGCTAATTAGAGCTTCAGGACACCTAATAAAAAAGAGAATCACAATTTTGAGACTGTGGCTTAACTATTCAGCCCAAATCAATATCTTGAAGCTAAAATGCCTAAGTATGCTAAGTTCAATGACAACCAAAGTAAATATTAGTTAAGGAAGTTTCATGAGCGAATAGAATAATCATCCTGGAAAACTGATAATAATTTAGCATTTTAAGAATCGAGAGCTAATAGAGTCAACTATCCTTGCCTGCATACTGGAACATTACTTGAGAAGGCAAGTGAAACCTTGAAATCTAAGGTTGCTTAGGCAAAAATCATTAAAATAAATAAGGCAAATTAATAGGAGTGGTTGGACTAAAACTTGAAGAATCAAAAACTTCATAAAATTGCTGATGGCTAGATTGAGCTAGGCTATGATTTAGATGAGGGGAAATAGAAATACATCAATCATCTTAAAGAAGAACTTGACAGCTAAGATGAAGATGCTCTTGAAGCTCTAAATAGAAGCTTATCAAATACCGATGATTTTAGTCTTAAAGATTTCCAGGCAATTGCAAAGCAAATAAAAATGACTCGTTTAAAGAGTAAAGAGTCACCTAAGAAAAACACCCAGCAAAATACTTTGTCAAATAATTATCAAACAACAAGGTAACAGTCATTTGATAAGTCTCCTTTCTCAAATGAAGTTTAGACCCCTAAAAGCACCATCACTAATCAGAGGTTTCAACTGCATTCTGTTTAAAGTGCTAGATAATCAAATGGACAAAAAAATAAATATGGGGGAATTATGGAAACACAGAGCAGTATCAGCACTTCAAAATAGTTTAAAAATGCTGCTTCTGCCAAAGAAATAGTTTAAAATGAAAACGTAAAAAAGGCTAATGAACTATTTGGATTATGCAAGGATGTCCTCAGGGAGGGCGTTTAACTATAAAATAAAGTATAATCCAGAGAGCAAAAGATTAACTTGAATTTCGATCTGATTAAGGATAGAGTAAGTCATAATATTTAATTAGCAGAGGATGATGTTAAAGTTAGTGTTGAAGATTTTCACAATAAGAAGCATATTTTCATCTATAATAAAGACCTCAGCAAAGGATATTTCTTGAGAATAGATCCATAAAGAATAAATGAAATCGCAAGAAGATTACACACATTTAAATTTAAGGAGCCAAGGATCATTGCACCTGATGATGCTCAAGCTGAAATTATAGAAAAGTAAAGACTTGAAAAATACTACCACAAGAAATTTAAGTCTGAAGATCTAGATGCTAAACAATTAAGACCGAAATACACAGAGAAATTTATATCAAAAGTTTAAGCAGTAACTGAAATGTGTAATATGAAGTTAAAAGAGAAGTTAAACCCATAAAACATCACTTCTAAAAAATAGAGGTGACTCATCCTCAATTGACTAATAAATTTTCTTGATTTCATAATTATTTCATTAACTTGAATTTATAATTATATCATTTAGATTGGGGTTTTGGGGTTTTGGGGTTTTGGGG